TTCTTCTAGAAAGGACTTTTTACTATCTTTCTGTAATTGCATCTATACAGAACAACTTTTTCCAGTTCCAAAGAAACCCCCATATAAAGTTCAGCTTTGCTCCCTCGGTCAGAAGCTGCACCGAATTCAAAAAAGCCGCTCCTTGGTCAATATGTATAGATAGTACTTTGCTCAGTCTTGCAGGGAAATGTTCTATACTCCTGTAGTAACTTATCTATTTGTGATAACATATATAACACAGAAAATATTTTGCAAAAATATGAAATCAACTAATTGAGGCTGTGTTTTTAAAAAAAATAACCCCATTTTTGCAGATTAAATAAACCCTTCCAACCGTCCAGTTCTGCTTCTTGGAAGAATAAAATTATTCTCTAAATGTAATATTAAATAAGTGTTTCATCAAAGGAAAATATGTGTGTTATATGTACACATTATATGCATGTATAAAGTAATGCAAATATATTTTCTTACTTAAAATAAAATTATAAATTTGTTGTTTCAAGAGCAAACATCACATATTATCCTAGATGTTTCACCCCCAAAATCCAAATATTACTTAAAAACCCACTTATAACTGAACTGAGTAAGTTGTGTACAGTTCGCTATGTATTGAAACATAGAAAGTGCAATGCAATCGATACACTGCTAAACCTTTTTTTACACATTTATATGCATCAGTCTTCCTTCCTCCAAAAGGGACTTAAAAAGACAGCTGATGAGTTTTTAAAGATAAATCTGTATTAGTCCAGCAAACATCTCAGACAAAAGCAGCTTTCTCTATCATGACATCCTCTAAATGCATTTGGACAATTTTACCAATGGTAGCTCAAAATTTCTGGAGGACACAAAATTAGGAAAAGCTGTAATCAAGACACAAGTATACAAAGGATAAAAGGAATTTTCATCGACTGTAGTTCTCTTCATGAAAGGTGCAACTCTGGATCATTAAAATAAATGGAAATTCTCCTGAACGAATTGGTTAGTATTTATTTGTACAGCACTCAGAAAGATATTTATATCAGTATATGCAGCTCACATGCATTTCTGCAGAAGAATGGAGCTATGTGTGTCTTAGCATCATATTCACCTGATTCAGGGAAAGTCTCTGCTTGATAATTGAAGATGAAATACAAAGTGTATTCTTCTCTGAAAAGAGGAATTTTCTCTCCTTCCCTCAGTAATTGAGGTCATTCAGCCAAACACTAGAGTTCACCTGGAGTCCATACTGCGATCCGCACTTAACTCAAAGATGTTTTATCTTTTGTGTTGATAGTCAAGATCTTGGCTATAACATTGACATCAAACTCTGTCTAGGCTGCTCATGACTAAGAGCAGTGCAAGGCGTAAACTTTTGACCCTCAACTTTTTGACCTGGAGTAGTTACGCCCTAATCACAAAGATATACAAAAGCAATGCAGCTTCTATCTCCTTAAAGAAGGATTAAGCTCAGCAGCCTTCCTTTTCCCATTAAGTTTTCCTAAAGGATCTAGAAGGATGTAGTGTTCTTAAAAAGAAAGAAGAAGAAAAAAGGAGGGGTCCTTTAAAAAGTATATCATTGTAAGCAAAACCCAAAATCACTTTCCAAAGATGTTTTGCCACTGCTGGAAAAAAAAAACAGATTAAACTGAATGGGGCTGGTAGCCTCTGTGACGGGGTAAACTACAGGCTCTGAAATAGACTAGCCCAGGGTATAATATTAAGGTATTAACCATTTTACCAAGTCTTTTTAATAGCAATAACAGAAGCAACACACTGAAGAACTGATCCAGTGGATTTGTGAAGCCTTGTCCAAGGAAAAGCGAATTGGTGATGAACTTGGTCTAAAGCGAGCTCTGCTGGTGAGTCTCAGAGTGTGCAGATTTATCTTCCTTTCTGCATTTACTTAACCTAGCAATGAACTGCAAGAGCTGCCATTTATTATTCAGAGACAGACTTCACCTCGAGCAACGACTGTTTCACAAAACTGCAATAATTACCCAATAACCTTCATAACAAATATTATTATTGAAAAGCCATTGTGGAAGATCGGGAACAAGGTGAGAGGAGCAGATTCCAGGGATTCTGAAGAGACACACTTTTGCAAAAACACAGTATGATATACTTTTCTTTGTAATTATATTGCATTGACTGCATCTGTCTAAGCAAGAAAGATGTAGTTCTTTTCTCCCAGAGAAAGCCTGCTTGTAAGAAATACTGAAACTGGCTACTTGGATTTTACAGAATCCAAAAAGGTCTACAATGTATACGGTCAGAATTAATAGAAAACTGCAAAGCTGAATTATATCTCCAAAAAACAGTCTTGTTCTTTCAAGGGGAAGGGAAGTTAGAAGTAAGGAGAAAGGCAAATAAGAAAATCTGATGCAGGAGCTCTAATTGCTAAGCTCAGCATTAAACTGTTCAATAGAAACAGTAGAATATACCAGCAGTATTTCTTTCACTTGCATAATGGAGCTAATAATTTTTTTCATAAGGCTTTGAACAGAAGGTGCATGCTGATCACATGTCATGTGAATTTCAAAAGTCGTATTTGTGCTTTCAGCAGAGGGGAAGTGACATAGTTACCTTGCTAAAATCCAAAACACTGACTTGAGCTGATACAATTGAACTTTCTAACATCCATAAAGAGCTTCTGATAAGGTGAAGGAAAATAAAGTATTATTCTTACCATAAGAAAATAAAATAGCAATGGCATTTTCAACATTTATGCAAATACACTTTTTTAATTTTAAAAATCTGATTTACAGTGTTCTATTTTGGAGTAATAAGTGTTTGAGCAGATGAGTATATTTTGGCCTGTTTATTCAACTTACTGCTCTGGTATGAAATGACAGAAAGAGACTAAAATAATCATTTTGAGGGGAAAATGTTTTCTGCTCCTACACATGTTGCAATCCTCCCTTTGGAGTTAGGAGGCTAATATAATTTAATTTTGTTTATTGTGATCTGCAGGCTAGTTTGCACAATCTCATTGAATTCAGGAGTATGCACTTTTCAGAAGAAATGCAGAAGGTCACTTATTGGTAGAGAACTTTGATAGAACTGTATGTCTTTCCCTGCTCTGTCTGTGAAATCAGTATGTTCATTCAGCCATCTTTCCACTGAGCAGTGGGTCCACTGAGTGGTTGTTAGTTCAGGAAATAACTAGATATGGAAAAAGGAGCATTAACAAGAAAGAATCTGAACAACATTTAGCCTCTAAATCATGGAATTATGTTCCCTAATTGTAAATAGTCTTTAAGGATGACTACCACATTTGGTTTTTAAGATCTCACTGTAGAAGGATTTCCTTCCTCATGTGTGGTAATAAACATAGCAATAAGAAAAGAAACACAAGGCGAAAGAATCGGGCTATTTTCCCCTGGCCCCAGCTGGTTTAAGCAGCATTTCTCCCCTGTATTTAAAACAGGGAAGCTCAGCAAAACTTTAGCACGGCACTTTTAAGCTGAAGTAAATAATGCATTATGGCTTGAATAGTATTTTATGTGGAGAATTCTGCCTTTGGCATGTAGGACCTTTTTGCTTTTGAATGTGTAGGAAACCATCAGTAACCCTGTAGAGAGCAATGCTGCTTCAACTGAAAAGCTAGTTTCCTCTGAAAGTGGGATTGCAGTCTTGTATTTTATATATATTTAAATTAAATCTGTATATCCTTCCTCTTTTTATTTTACTTAAGAAAACAAGCAGGGCTCAAAGGTAAAATAACGGTCCTTCCCCCATTCTAAATCTTGCTAAATCTTGTTGAAAATTCAACACATCTTAACTACGCTAAATCTGGCAGGGAGGAATCCCTGCATAAAACCGAGTTTGGGCTGGCAGGACACAAATAACAATATATTTATACCATTAATTCTATTTCATATAAGTGTGAAGAGAGATCACATACATGCACGCACAATGTAAATGACTATGAGTGCCTATATTCATAATTAGAGTCAACTTAAAAATGATAGAAGTTTCCAGATCTTCAAATATTTATTAATGCCTCCACAAAATCTGTCTCTTTCTAAATAACAGCCAGAAGAGGGTAAGATTCTATTATTTTACCAGATACCACTGAGATTTTAAGATTTATGCAAACTGCTTTTTAATTCTGTATAATGTGCAGAAAGAAATTAAGACATAGAGAAGTGAAGCTTCATTTGACATTTAATTGAAATAAACTCTAATAGTTTAGTGTGACATATACTTTGACCAACAGCTGAATTATTATTAGCAAGAGTTTAGGAAGGGAATCTGTTGATTACCTCAGGTAGTTCTTAGGCTTAAACCCCCTGATTATAATGTAGATATCCTGTAGCTTCATCTCTTTAAACCCACTAAAACCTTGTTCACTTGCAAAATCATTCATTTTATTTTGTATATAAAATTGCTACTGTGTCCTAAGCAGTTGCTTTCCTAAATTTCTAGGAGTAAGAATTTTTAGGTTCTGCCTTCAGGAGGCAGGCAGGCAAGGGAAAGTTTAAAAAAAACACCAATGTTCTTTCATGCTTTCTTTCAACCCTGGAAATTCAAAGACTTAGATCTAAATCCGGTCATAAACTTTATTGCTGTGCAATCACACTCTAGTGAGAAGTGTCTGCTTAAATAAAAAAAAGGATGTTGAAATAAACAGGCAGCTGGGGGCCTACCTCAACAATTGCCAGCCAGTAAAATAGAGAAAGAAAACAGAGAGAAAAGAGAACGGTAGCTAGCTACATAAATGGGCTTGTTTATTATGACCTATAAACTTAGAGACAGTCTTCAGTAATTTCCAGGGATATAATGGTATGCAGAATCTAAAGTTATGATCTATTTCCTCACATTGGAAGGAAGAATAGGAGAAGCAGGTATATAGAAGAAGGTATAAAAAGAATGCACGGTTGGAATGAGCAATATGCAACATATGCTGTGTATACGGTGTACAAATATTAAGATCACAGAAAAAGCAACAACTTGTGTACAGTATACAAGGTACATGTGTGATTAATTCTGGAAGGTAGAGAAGACCCAAGAATCCAGTATTTAAAATCAACTAAAACACCTTTATTGTTATATGTAAATATTTCATCTAGATGAAAATATTCCAGACATGCCAATAACAATGGGGTTGTTGACTCTTCCAACAGGTATATAGCCAAAACCATCTCCCTCCAATTATTTCTTTTTAAATTGGCCTGCGGACTCTTCTTCCCATAAATACAATTGATAGAAACAAACAAACAAAAATCTTTCATGGAGCAAAGGAAGTCATTATCATTTGCTTTAGCCAACATAATTAAAGTTAGGCCTCAAAATCCATCTCTGCCAAAGACTCTTGTTCTGCTTTTCTTGCTTCAGACTGTAATGTTTGATTTGGGATTAAGATGAGAATAAAATTTGTTGTTCTTATATTTATCAGCTCAACTCCAGAAAAGTACAAATTACATAGGATTTGGAGCAGATTGTAAAAATCACCCTGTCTTTAAAGCAGCCCCTTGAAGCGGTTATTGGATTATTTCAAAATACTGCCAGGTCCAAAAACAAGGAGTAAGGCAAAAATATAGCCGAGTTCTCTACTGAAAAAATAAACTTAAGCAACTTGCGCACATAACTTACCTTGAGCGCTTTTTTTCACTGAGTATTTGAGAACTTGGGGAGAGATACTTCTGTACCTAAACCCTGACAATTTGAATGACCAGGAGGCGCACGTAGCCTGTAAGAGAGTCAAATGAAGTCCAGCGTCAGTGTTATTATATGTTATGTGGTATATAATGTTGGATGACAACTCCCCAGAACCATAAAACTTACTTTAATGGCACCACGTGACTTTTTATAGCCAGTGAGCCTATCTGTCTGTACTATGGATGATTTTACGATGTAATTCATAGACAAAACCCTATTCATTTGGTATCTAAATGTCATATAGCTGGAACTTGGGCTTATAAAGTTTACTGCTTTATAACTTTTAAGGGAAGATACCAGTGTACTTTGCCTGTAAATCTACAGATCTTTAGTTACTCTTAGGAACTCAGAAGCATTAACCATTCAAGCCCTGGGTTGGGTAAGTAGTGTTACATTTCTAGCAAAATTAATTGTAACAAAGCTAAACAAAGAAATACATATTTATTTGAGTTGATCTAAGTCTTTCCCCAATATCTGTTAAAATTGCACAAGGAGAAGTGTAATTCATGGTAGATTGTGTGTAAGAGTCTCTCTGCAAGATATCTGTAACTGTCCACCAGTTAGTTTTTTGTTAGTTCCCTCTAGAAAGCTAAAGTTCTTAGAAATGAAGTTGAGGAAAGCAAATGCTTGTTTGTTTGTTTGTTTGTTTGGGAAAAAGAGTTAACAGTGTGGTATCTTCCTTCCCCCCAAAAAATGACAAACACTTTTTTGTTTCTTATACAACATTCAACACAGAAAGCAATCTTTGCTCCAGTTTACAGGGGCTATTGGGCTCAGTTTCGTCTCCAACTTTAGTCTCCAGACTAAATGTGGAGCAATATATGAGTCTCTGTAGGGTACAGACCAGCTCCCCCTCAAAAGGCAAAATACAGAGTAGAAAGAAAAGGGGGAGATGATCCCTTATAAAAGAAAGTTTATTTTTCCAGTCAGTTAAAAAAAATCCACATTTCTTTTTAAAAAAATCACATTTTTGTTCAAATAGCCAAATTTTGACTCTATTTGTAACTTTGACCACAAACAAAACAAAAACAACAACACCCCCAACCCTTTTACTTTTCCGAAGCTGCGCTTAATAAAAGCCATTTTTTAAGTGTTCGTGCAAAAAGTCATATACAAAGGCACAGCAAGGACATACTGTCTGGAATCACAGTTTTCGTCACAGATTCACTATTCACTACACGTTTGGACAAGTTCAGCTTGTTTCATTATTTCACCTCTACAACAGTCATTAATGACACAGGAATTAGGTAGTATTTTTTCTGATTGGAAATCTTGGCCACAGCTTGGAGTTATACATACACTGACACGTTCAAACACACATGCATGGTTAAGCACAGCGAGGGAAACAACACAGAGAAAAACACTGGGTTTAAACCAGACTGAGAGTGGGGTGTGGGAAGGAGGAAGGAAGGGAAGGAAGGGAAGCCTCCTTTCCTTTTTTTAATGTTTGCGTAGGACTATTTTTTTCCTGTTTTTACAATTACTTCAAGTAACGCCACTTGCTTCATATAAATAAGTTAAAACATCTACGTAAAAAAAAAAAAAGACAAAGCTATTCAAGACAAAGAAATGCACAGGGAAGCCGATCTACTGTAAAACGCCGCGCACTAGGAAGGCTCAATTAAACAGGCTCATGATTATTAAGATACATCAGCAGAGGGTTGATTCGCCCTTTTAGGGAAGTTAAGCAAAGAGCAATTACTGACTGCGCCTACGCAGGGTCAGCATTTATATAATACTGTTGAATTGTTGTGGTGTTTTTGTACTTGTATTGTTTTTCCCTCTCTGGGATGGGGTGGGGGGATGGGGGAGAGAAGCAGGGCTGGCATATCTCTTAAGGGCGAAAGGCTCCTCCTGCAGCTGCCATACTCATGCTCTTCAGCTTGTTATCCTTTTTCCATTTCATGCGCCTGTTTTGAAACCATATCTTGATTTGTCTCTCTGAGAGGCAAAGAGCATGTGCTATTTCAATCCTCCTCCTGCGGGTCAGGTACCTATTGAAGTGAAACTCTTTCTCCAGCTCCAAGGTCTGGTATCGGGTGTAAGCTGTCCGAGCCCTTTTCCCTTCGGGCCCCCCTATGTTGTCTGCAACAGGGGAAAAGAAAATAATAAGGGAACCGGTTTAGACTTTGGCAAAAGGGACATACCCTCCCCCTTCATTTTGGCTCCTTGCTGTCCGTTTTTCTTTCCCTCAGATTTCTTTCTCTTGTTAGTATGTTGATTTGAGGGAAAGACTCAACAAGTTCCTCCTTCTCTCCTCCTCCTGTTTTCTCTCTCTCTCTGTCCTCCCCCACAACCCTCCTCAAGTAATTCAAGCCTGGTGAAGTTTAAACAACCTCCCCTTTGATTCTCTTAATGAAAAGCTGATCAATTCAATTCCAGCCCGGAAGCTGGAGAGCACGCAGTTCGCTTGCTCAACTGTTCTTCAGCCGGGTCTCTACTTGTGTGTAAAGTTTTCTAAAGAACTTACTTCCCGGTTATCTGCTTAAAAGAAAAACTAACAATCTCCCCCTCCGTCTGGTCCCAGACCAGGTCCACTTTTCATCTGAAACCCACTTGCTTTGCCAGTCTGGCTGAAGAAGAAATTATTTCCATGCCGAGGCTGAAGGGCTGCAGAACTAGCTTCCCTGAGACCCTTCACTCTAGGCTCCCCTAAGTTTCCCCTACTTTTCTCCCAGATAAATCTCACCCTTCTGTCTCCACCCCCCCACCCCCAAAACACTCACAAGCACGCACACACTATTTCCTCAACTTCTTTTTGGATATAATTAGTAACGGTGTTTTCACTGGACAATCTTCGCCATAAATTACCGAAGCTGACACGCACTATTCAGGCTGGTTCTCTCGCTCAGTCCCACCATTTCCATTCAAGCGCCCAGTCTTGGAGACCTGGAGAAGAGTCCTTAGGAGAGATTGTCTTACATTACCCAGATTTCCATCCTCCACTGACCTTCAGCTGCGCTGTCCTTTCCAAGGGGGCGAGGATGGGAAGAGTTTGTGGCTTCCTCAAGAGAGAGAGAGACCCACCTGAACTAGAAGCTAGTCCGACAAACATGGGCTCCCGTGCGAGGGAGGCGTGGAAGGAGAAGGAAGTTTCTTGTCCCCCACCTAGTTTCTTTTTTGGCCAACCTTGTGTCCCCTCGGTTCCCTGGCCCCTCTCCCTTCTCCCCGTCTGCCTCTAGATCTGCTGTATTAGGTTATATATAAAGAAAACTGGGCATGCTTTTACCATGGCTTATGTGAAGTTTTCTCATCCAGGGGTAGATCTGGGGCTGGGGAGCCTGTTGAGCTGTGTTTTGGTCGTTCTGCTGAGAGGACGCCTGCTCGTTGTTGGCGGGAGGATCCTCCTGGGCGACCGGCGACGTGCTAAGCCCTTCTCTGCCCAGGTGGCTGGTGCTGGCGCTGGCGCTGCCGTTGCTGCTGGCGCTGCCGCCGGCGTTGGCGGTGCCGCTGGAGGTGGACGAAGTGCTGGTGGTCGAGTTAACGGTGGAGGTTTTCCCCCCACCGTGATGAGCGTCGCCGCTGACAGGCGAGGCGGTCACGGCGGCGCAAGGCAGCGACTCAGGCGGAGGCGAGTGAGCGGCCGCCGCCCGGTTGGCGTACCTGGCGTCGGGGGTGGCGGCGCTGGCGTTGGCGCTGGCGCTGGCGCTGGAGGGGTAACTGCCGCCGCGAGCCCTCTCTGTGGCCCCCCCTGGCGCAAAGTGGCTGGAAGCAGAGCGGGCGACGCTGAGGTCCATACCATTGTAGCCGTAGCCGCCGTACCTGCCGGAATGCATGCTGGCCGATTCCCTGAATTGCTCGCTCACGGCACTCGGATCTCCATAATTATGTAACGGGTACTCCGGGCCATTTGGATAGCGACCGCAAAATGAGTTTACAAAATAGGAGCTCATTTGTTGTTGTTGTTGGGGCTTGTTAGGGGTTTTTGTTGTTGTTGTTGTTGGCTTTTTTTTAATCGGGGGGCCTTGATTTGTGGCTCTTTGCTTCGTTTTTTGGTGCGTCTATAGCACCCTTGCACAATTTATGATGAATTATGGAAATGACTGGGACAAGTACTTGGTTCCCTCCTACGTAGGCACCCAAATATGGGGTACGACTTCATATCACGTGCTTTTGTTGTCCAGTCGTAAATCCTGCCTGATGACCTCTAGAGGTAAACTCGCGTACTAAATGGGGGAGTTGGGTGGATGCTAGAGTGCTTGGGCGCGCGCCTGGAGCGCGAGCCCGCTGCCAGCTCCTTACTGTCAGTCGGCCTCGTGCGCCACCCTCTGGAGACCTGCTAGAGTTTCACTTTTCTCAGCCCGGAGCTGCTGCAAGACTGAGGTCGAATTGGGGTTACAGCCCATTATAGCAAAATTATGACATCTCTCTCAGAGTCCCATTAGTAAGTAGCAATTGTTAGGGACTGTGGGTGTTATATTAAAACAAAAAACAAAAAGGTTTTTTTATTTTATATATAAAATAAACTAAATAAATTAGTATTATTTTGTATATATAAAATAAACTAATTCAGCATAGATTTCTTTGGAATTTAGGGACCAAAATTAACAATTAAAAAAACTGATTCAGAACACATAAGAAATAATGAATCTATAATAATAGTAACTGAACAGCAACTTCAAGAGGAAGGAAGTATTGATATATTTTTAAAGCCAGTGCCAATTTTAAATTTGTATTCAACATAAATGTCCTGCAGTATTTTTTTTAATAGAATTCTTTCATGGGCTTTTAAGAGACACAGAAAAAGAGAAAATTCAGGAACATTTCAAGGCTTGCAAATTTTCTCCACCTCATAAATATAAGCATGGTGGTGTTGTTTAGTTAGGAGAATATGAAATAATAATAATTATTATTATTATTAGTCAGATTTATAATCCAAGTGCTATGCTTTTCATATTATTAAAATATAATATGCATGCTTCCATATGTACATAGTGGCACCAATGCACTATAATATAATTTCATGCTACTACTAAATAAAGCCTTCACCTGCACTTTCTAGCACACCAAGAGTATGAAATAGCTGTATTCTTATTTAAATTTGGGGTGTCTTCTCTAAATACTTTTTTAAAAAATTAAATAGGTGAAGAACACATCCATAACAGGATAAAGAAATTTTAAACTAGGTTAATAGAAGAAGAAATTGAAAATACTTGATAATCAATTATATTAAATAATCACATGGATCCTAGTAATCTGCCCATCAACAAAGGTCTCCCTCCTTTTCCCCACTCATTTTTATCCTTTTAGAAAGGTTAATTTTTTAAATCTATACTTTAGAAAAATTAAAATATACAGCAGATGATCAGCAAGGTTTTGAATTGTATTTCCCATCCCACCCATTATCTCTTTTGAAAATCCTAATTATGTATTGGGAATTGTGCATGCATGTTAACATTTCCTCTTCTTCTTTTCTTTAAACCACATGAGAATGCCATGTGCAACATCATTCAAATAAAGTCCCAAAGAAATCAATATTAATACAAACCAATGGGTTCAGGTCTGAGATGAAAAAGGGTAGAACAAAGCACAACTATTTGTTTAAGTGTTAGTAAAAAAAAATATGCAGAAGAAGGTCTCTTTCCTTCTAGAATCCCTCTCTGGATCCAGGTCTGACCCTTTTTAATGCGGAGAAGCTGGACCATCAATTGGTAGTTTTATATAAATACCTTTTTATTTTTTAAAAAAAGAAAATAAAGGCATTACTTATGTCAAAAGCATTTAAGCACCTAAATCTACAGAGTGGAAATCTGACTATTACCTTTTCTACTGTCAATAATGCTACTGATACAGAAATTTACAGTTTACTGAAAACATATATAGATAGATGCATAAATATGTATTTTAATTAAGCCTTTGGAAATATCTGCAAAACAACAACAACAAAAGAATAATAAACCAATGAATTTGTAGGGCTCTGTGTGTGTGTGTGTGTGTGTGTGTGTGTGTTTGTGTGTGAACTGGGAGGCATGATGATGAAGGAAAAAGCTACTAATAGATGGTTTATTCTCTTAAGCATAATTTTACTCCCCTGATTTTTCCTCTGTTTCTTCTTCGCCAGGCTGGGTGGAATTGATCAATTTGCTTTCCTTTTTCCATTTCATCCGCCTGTTTTGAAACCAGATTTTAATCTGTCGTTCAGTAAGGCAAAGAGCGTTTGCAATCTCAATCCGACGCCTTCTGGTTAAATATCTGTTATAATGGAATTCTTTTTCTAACTCTAGCGTTTGGAACCTGGTGTAGGTTTGCCTGCCCCGTCTCCCATGCGTTCCATACACTGTACCTAGGGAAGCAAACATATATAACCGCGAATAAGCAGGCGGCCCGCCTTTCGGTTAACAAAGAAATCGGGGGAAATCCTTGGAGCTATACTCCTTGTTTACTCATGCTTTCTAACTTAAGAAACAAGCGCATGTTCTGGTGCTCACAGGATCAGGTATTTCAAAGTTATCTTTTAGTTTTTAATTTTATTTAAATTTTGGGATAGGGGGGTGAACAGAATCATTCCTTTTTAATAACAGGAAGGGAGATTGTTTTCAATGTGGCCATTCCTATGAATAGGCCCTGGTATAATAGGAGAGTTGCTTTTATGTTATGTTTTATGTCCTGACTTACAAGAGGATTTTGAAGGTGTAATCAAATTGGAATATTTTTCAGTCACACTGATTTCCAAAGGAAGGAATTAGCAATCCTCCTTGTTAATTTTTTCCCATTTTAAACACATGAAATTTAAAGATCCTTGTCTTATCTTAACATTCTCCTGTTAAGTTCAGTCAACTGACACCAGCACCTAAACAGATTTATTTGCAAGCCCCAATAAATTTAATAAAATCTATTTTGAAGCAAGTGTTTTTTTAAAGAACGTAGAATAAAAATAGAATATAGAGGTAAATTAAATTATAGTATACTGCTTTAATGAGAATGCTTTAATGAGAATAGACTGAAACTCTCCAAAAGCTTTTGATTTTAATGCTTCACTGTTAAAATATCCTTAGACTTTCTAATTCCTCTGGTAGAAGAACAAAGAATGGCGTTCTGATGCATTGAAACGGGTGGGGGGGGGTTGGCCATTGATCAAGTTTTCTTTCTTCCCACCCCCTCCATCCCATTAGATGATTTGTGTGTGCGCGTAGATATTACTAGGAACGTGCATTCAATAGCTCATTCTTACACACTAATGAGTGGGTGAAGGGAGGGGGAAGAGAACTCTCACAAATATATGGAGCAGTCAGAACTCTTCCCTTGTATCACTCTTTGGTTCTAATAGAAAGAGAAGCTTCTCTGGTAATGATGATGAAGATGATGGTGAGCAGTTTAGCAACAGCAGCCACCCAGTTCTTAAGAAAATATTGATTTCTGAAGAGTGTTAGTAGTTATTTCCTTAAGATTTGCTTCTAGTATGTGACACTGCAATGGTAGGCTTCATGTGCTAACTCAGCCTTCAAAAGGCATTCCTTGTCAAGGTAGTCCTCCACCTGTCAGGTTGAAGGAGAACTTGAGAAAGAGTCTCAAGTAATCCCTGGGCTTTGAACCTTCTCTACCCGTCCTGGACTGAAGTCTGAAGATGGCCCATCTGAAAAAGACCTTTCTTCCCAAGAAAGAAAGAGAGAATGGAAGCTCCCCTTCACGATCACCTCTGCAGCCCACCTCCCTATTTATGGTTACCTTTTATGACTTACCAGCACACGAATTCATCCTCTGCATCCAAGGGTAAACAGGGCTGATGTACTTCCGGTCGCTGTTTTCCTCGTTTAGGATTTTGGCTGCCCCGTTTTCGGGCTTGTACTGCTGGTCAGAGGCAAAGCAGGGCAAGTAGTCCCCGGGGTTGCTGGCCCTTGGTTTGCCATTGCCGGAGGGCGAGGAGGCACCGCCCAGGTCCTTGTCCGAGTAGAAGCAAGAGGCTCCATAATCATAGGCTGCCCGGTTGCAGGCGATGACCGTATTGGGGCTGGACTGTTGGAAGAAGCTAGGGGAGGAGTAGGGCTTCTCTTGCAGGCTGCCGGTCCCATAAGAAGCTGGGAAGTGCCTTAGAGCCTCGTAGCCAGCCGTGGGGTGATAGAGGGGGATCTGCCCCAGGAAGGACTCTTGTCCATTCGACAAGCTTCCCGGGAAAGCGGGATTCACGAAATAGGAACTCATGGACGCTCCCCAGATCCCAGACCTTGATTTGTTGTGTATTAGTACATCTGGCTATAACTATTAGTAGTCATGCGAGTGGTTTGTTTCTGGATGGCCGAGCGCCAAAAGCGACAGCAGCAAATCGCACCAGCTGACGGCACGGCGACCAATGAGCGAGCAGCGGACGGCCTTCTCCCCTGGGATCCGCCGCTACCGAGCCAGCAAAGTTCCAAACAACCTCCTCCCCCCAGGCTCACACACACATACACACACACACCTCCGCCGTCGCCGAGCCTAGCAGATGGCAACTGGCCACCAGGCGTTCTCCTCGGTGCCAACACGGAGAACAGGGGTGAGGGGAGGAATTGCCCTCGGATAAACTCCCCCCCCCGTGGAGGAAATGGGGTATCCCCCCCCCCCAAATGAATGAATGACGCCAGGGAGAGATTCCCAGCGACGGGTACCTGACTGCTTACAGCAAAGAGGCACCCCCCGAAAACCTGTCTTGCAAAAACCGTAGTCTATCCAGGAGAAGCTCCCCCCTCCCGGTTTATTCACCCTCTTGCCAAGAGCTTACGGTCTCTGTCCCAGCTCAGCCGCTGGGACGAAAGCAAAGGAGCCGCGTGGTGTAGAGGCGGTGTCTAAGAAACGCTTAACTTGACAACCGCCTCCAAAAGAGGGAGAATCTGTCTGTTTAGAAACAAACTGACGAACAAGAGATTCGGCCTCAGTGAACCGTCTTCCCTCATGCCCGAGTCAAAAACGATAAAACGAGGGTGCCCAAAGTATGTGGGAATATTTTCCAACAGGACGTAAATGGGCAACTGAAATCCAACCAAGTTGCGTGATTTCCCTTCCCTATTTTTAATGAAAGGTATGTATACGTGTGTGGGAGAGCGTGCATGCATCGACATCCTCGAGAATGGCTTAAAAAAACAACAACCCCAAAAATCCCTTCTGTTCAAGGTGATCCAGACAATATAATTCAGTTAATTTAATCCTCAAGTCTGAAGCGAACAGGAAACGGTGATTCTCCCGACACAATTGTTTTTGTTGCTGCTCTTTATTTGTTGTCAGTGGGGGCATTCAAAGGAAACCCCTCTGAGGATGTTAGCTGCTGCTTTGAAGAGAGGAAATTATTCCAATAAAATTTTCCCCCTGTTGTTAGTCTTTTAACTCCCTAAATGATATCTTTGTAACTTCAGTCTGTTGTTATAATGAATCTCACAGGAAGGTGGGAGCAATTAAGTCACCCCATCTTGAGACAGAAGACCAATAAAACCAAATTGAAAGAAAGAAAGAAAGAAAGAAAGAAAGAAAGAAAGTCAGCAGATACACACTTTTGAAATCTGCAAATTTAACAGTTATTTCAAAATACAATGGGAAAATAATTAGGCCTGAAGTATTAAGGGACTAAGAATTCTGGAAAGAAAGGAGGACTTTCATAAGGAGGCTGTCAATTTTTGAAATTGTTTATGTTGAATCATCTTGGTCTTATCTCCTAGCAAATATGAATAAGATTAAAGCCAAGTATCTTCCTATGTCAATTATTTCTTTCCTTTCTCAGGTGTTCTATTTTCTAAACGGCTACTTTGTTGGCTTGAAAACCTAAGGTCTTTGGCCAGTTTGGCTATTTTATTTTTACATTTCCTGTCTTCATTTAGGGTATCTCTAAAACAGCAGTAAGTTAAAATAGCTGCTGTCACCATCATCATCCCCCTTTTAGTGGCCAGTTTTCTTTTGGTCCTTAACCTTTGGAGTTTCAGGAACCCTTCCAACAATGGCTCTCCACCCCACCCCACCCACCATCGCTAAATCAAGATCTATAAATGTAATTTTTTGAGGTGTTGGAGAAAATAGTCCCCAAAATGGAGAATAGTCATTACTGTATCAAAAATGAATTCTTTTAAAATATTTTACAATACGAGACAGTGAGAGAAAGAAATGAGAGACACAGACACAGAGAATGCTGGAATACATATACACATACATACAGTAATCATTGACATGCACAGAACCAAATATTTCTATAAACAGAAACATATTTGTTAAATTGTAAATTTATCTACATTTAGATTGACATATTGCTTCTATTGATTGGTTCATTTCCATCATTTCTGTTCAATTGCCAACTTGTACAACTTTACAAAAATATAAATAGCTGGGAAAAACTGTAATTATTTGTAAATTTAATGCAATAAACAGGGAATTCCTGAACTGTTACATCCACATCAAGCATAATTTTATAAAGAAGGGATAACATCTGAACCAATTACTGAACAACTACTAGAGCAAATTACAGAAGGGAAAAAATGGCCATTGTCCAGGAAATGAAACTGTACTAGGAGTACACTTCCCCCCTTCCATCTAGACATTTGGAGACACACATCTGTTAAACAGAAGTTTTGCCAAAGTCTGCACCTTCCCAGAGGAATCCAGACACATTCTCTGAGATATTTTCTTAATGAAAAAGCAAGGTAAATAACTTGGCAGGGCCCTTGAAAAACACCCAGCAAACCAGGTCAGACTTTAGAACTCTTTCAAATAACAACCTCAATTGATTTAAAACGTGTGACTACCATTTTAACAATGAGGGCCTCCCACTACCACGCTCCCCCCTCCTTTCATTCAACCCAAGCCATAAGTCAAACAAAGTTGGAACGTAGGTGGTGGGGGGAAAGGGCGGCAGCTCTGTTTAAGTTTAAAAACTCCTTTTCTGTGACGATGCACTGACGAATTCTTATGTTCACAGAGCTAACGGAGAAGCAAGATTTAACCAACAAATCTAATCCAAACAGATCTCTCCGTCCGAGCCATTGTTTAGGCGGGAAGTATAGTAGCAACCCTCGGGATTAAGTCAGCGACTCTAGGTCGCCCAGCTAGAATTAGCGCAATAGTATTTTTTTTCAGGGGTTGTTCGGCCTTTCCCTGCGTACATTTAAAATACAAAAATCGTCTGGGAAAGAAGAACAACATCTCCGCGTGTGGATATGCTCCACCAACGATAAGCAACCTATTCAGTCGTGATTTATTCGTCGGCTCTCTTTTAATTATTTATTTATGTACCTGGTAGCTGCCCCCGACTCTCTCGGTGCCTAGTACCTTTAAGGGCCACAGAGTGGCAGTACTGAGTAAAGTTCTCTCGCCGATAAATAATCCCACATTCACTGCAGCTGCAGTCAAGCAGATACTGCAATATAATATACACGTAATTCTTTTATCAGTTCGGAAAATGGGTTGGAAGGGGGTTGAAAACCTTATTTTTGTAATATTTAAGAAAATCTCTAACCATCCTCTACGGAGGACATAAATAGGCAAAAACAGACACATTTCAGTCGTACAATCAGAAATCCCCCCCCCCCCCCAAAAAAAACAACAAATAGAAACCATCTCGATTTGGGTGAACCATGCACAATTGCCTCTATGAAAATATTGCACAAAGTATCACATCTTACCAGCTATTACAGTTAAGATAATTTATCCTTTTTTTCCCAATAAACAATGACCGAAAATATTCCTTGAAGCATTTAATCCCGCTCACCACCCCAGCACTAATGACAAATAGATGACAAGACAAAACAACAACAACAACAACAACAACAACAACAAAATAAATGTTCGTGTTCTTAAAACGCTGTCATATGTTCCTGCCTCTCAGTCATGCAGGTTAGCAACACCATAAATATTGCGTTCAGGTCTTGCCTATAAAGGCATCACCGGAATTAATCGCCATCTAAAATCCCAAACATGTGAGGACCCGCCTCCGTCCACCAATTTATTTCCATTCATCGCAGACAAGTCAAAATAAATACAACCTCTTAATAGCTTCCACCGCAAATTAAATATTTGCAACAACCAAAGAAGCCCTCATAGATTAGACACCACCTTTTTTTTTTGGGGGGGGGGGGTTCGGGTCCAAATCCAAAACCTTTCTACGAATGAAGCCGTTCAGCGGAGGTTTCTGGAAACCCACCATGCTTTCCAAAGGCAGCCTTTTAACCCAGCCAATGGAACAGTAACAGTGTAAGGATGACACTTGGAGCCCGGCGCTGATTTGTATGCGCTAGGCAAACTCCCGGAAGCTCCGGGTTGCATTGGTTCATTCTCACTCTGTGTGAATGAGGCAAATCGACCTTCTCTCCAGGCTAAGAGAGGTTCAGGCAGCGCGCAAGGCTGCTTCGTGTAACTAACTGGGTCTGCTTGCTCACGCTCTCCTCTGCGTTTCTCACCTTGTAGGTCCTGGTTGCCAGGAGCCTCTGCCACTTTGACAGCTGCCGCTTTGCACGCCGTGGAGACGAATGGCCTTCCTTTTGGTGCCAGAAGAAGCAGGAAATTAGCCAGGTTGCGAGTTGAAAATCTGCCACCCAGCAGCTTTGAATCCAAGACGCCACACCTTCCGGCTAAGGAGCTGGAAAATGCCATTCCGGACCTGCGTTCGAAGCGACCGCCTGTACCCAGTCTCCATCTACTCGACTCCCTTTTGACTTACAAAGGGCATAAGAAAACCCGGGTGGGTGGTTGAAAGGGGTGGTGGGGGTGGGGTTGGGCTGAAAAGGCAGGGAGATCCGAAGCAGGACAGAGCAGAGCAAAAGAATGCAGCTCTATTCTTGCCAGGGAAATTATAAAAAAGTTCATGTTCACGATTACCACCCACATGACCGCCCACAACCAATGGAGAACCCGAATCACTCGTAAAGTTGTATTGCAAAGTTGTAAATTTTCATAAACAACAACGGATTTATGGCCTTTTCCTCATCACTAAGAAAGAGGCAGGACTTAGAAAGGCGCCATTTTACCAGAGAGACGGTCCTAGATTTTTAAAGGACCCACCATTTGGACAATCCCCCCCCTCCACTTTTTGCATTGAAATTATGCTAAATACATTTAGAGGCGAATAAAGTATCAGGCGTTGGCCCTCTTTCCACATACGATTTTTTATTCTTTTCCTCCTTCCTTATAATTTATATCTGAAAGCATCCGCTTTATTTCAGGGTTGTTTTTTTTTTTTAAATAATGGGGTGGACAACGGACTGAAAGAACAAAAATAAAGACAATATCTCAGAAATATTTGAAGATGCACCACGGAAGGCAAGCCATGTTTCTGTTACTTCTGTCTTCTCCCCCTATATTTAGCATATTCAGATCTCTAACCTGAGAATATACATTTTGACAATTGTATCCTATGCAAAATGCGGATTTATATTTAGGCAGAGAAAGTGCATACCAGCCCCACATTGGAATTAAGGTTATGTGATGAAGCTGGAACGAAGATATAATCCTAACTCAACTGAAGTCAAATTCATGGAGCCAGTTGAGATGTGAAAGGAGAAAACGGGATCTATTTATCACTCTTGATTCCAATGGAAGAAGCTGCATATGAAATCTGTCAGGATTATGCCCACAGAACCAAGCAACTTTTTACTTCTGTAACATTCTCCCACCTTGGTGAATCATTTTGCAAATGAATTTGTGCTGCTATTTTCTTCCAGGTAATGAAGGTAGTGAGGGCACCATTCTTATTTCTTCAAGATATTTACTTGCTCATATGCCTTATATTTCATTGTATGAATGCTGAACTGTAGGGCATATGCACCCATATATTCTTTGCATGAAAAAACACACCTTGCAATGCATTGTCATCAAGCATTTTTATTTCTGTGTAACATTAAACACTTGGGTGATACACAAAAGCAAACTTCAAAGATAATTCATACACACACACACACACACACACACTTCCCTGCCCCTTCTAATTTTAACATGAAATACCTCAAGGTTCACAGTGTACAGAGCAGAAAAAAACACATTTGTAACATACAAGTTATGAATAAAGATTAGCCAAAACTTTAATGGTGGAATTTATTTATACAGAAGTTTTTTTTAAATGTAATCATGCTACAAAGTTACCCAATTTAGTACAGGTTTTCCAGTTTATGATGGAGTTCAAGACAGAAGAAACAGGCAACGTTTCCAATGCACTGAAATGTAGGAAAGTTGCAGCCTTTTGTACTGAACAAGTACAGAGTGAGGGAAGAAATTGGTGAAAGAGCATGTAATGGTTGTTTAAATTCACTTAACTTCTTTTTTAAAATTGCATAAAGCACAATTAATGGACAAATTTCAAACAAAACACTGAATCAGCTTTCAGGAGCACAATATGAAAGGAAAGATGCAGATTTTACAATGGATACAATCAGAATTTATCTCATAATATTCGGGCTAGCGAAGACTTGAGAAGAAAGCTAATATTGCAGCATATTTGACTTAATTTAATAACAGCCTTGCAATAAATATATTATGTCTTAAAAACTCTAAATTATATTCATCAGTACTCCGCACCAAATCTTTGACCCACGCAAGGCAGGCCTCACAGTTTCTGCTTGACAATATCCGATCCCACCAACACTGTTCTTACCCCTTTCTCATTTATACAATACAATTTTAGTGGTAGGTAGGCGGAGTTATGAAATAGGTAGTTTTCAAAATAGGTAGTACGAACCATTGCAGTTGAGTGTAGTGGTTTATTATTATTTTAAAGGATTTCTTCCCCCACCCAACCCCTCCCCAGTTATTTAAACAAATAAGCAGAAAGTCCAACCACTTGGAAGTATATAGAACTTTAGTGAAAAATTAGGTAGTCTGAAATTAAGCCTAGTGCACTTTTCCCTTTCAGATTTTTGGGATCTGTGCAGTCAGGTAGTTTATTTGGAAGCTAACTTAGTTGGGGCTCTTGCGCTCTCTCTCTCGCTCTCTCGCTCTCTCTTTCTCCCCCCCTTTCGTGTGCAAAGAACGGGTAATTGTTGGGTTCATTTTCTTTTCACAAATATCAATAAAAATAATAACTATGTTATTTATCACTTGTTAAGATAAATGGTGAGCAGCTTGGATGCTCAAAGCCAATCTAGCCCACATCCTGCATAGGACAGAGGATAAAGACAGGGGATGTCTAGAGGTAATGGAAGAGATCTACCCTGCTTGTCCTCTCCCCAGATTCTCTTAAGAGTGGAAATGGCCATTTAAAAAAACATGGGTAGTTTTATGTTTATTTTGTTTTTAACAAAAAGAAAGAAAGAAAGCTTCAGGAGAGCGTTTACAGCTGTCACGTGCAAACAGCATTTGAGAAGAAGCTCCAACGAGACTTCTCCTCCTCCCGCTGGCATTTATTCTGCGTCTTCCTCCTCCTCCTCCTCTTCCTCCTCCACCTTTTCCACCGAGGTAGTGGCGGGTGCCGCCTCATTGGCAGCGGCCGCGCCTCCAACGGCGTCCTCTTTATGCTCCTTCTTCCATTTCATGCGGCGGTTCTGAAACCAGATTTTGATCTGCCTCTCGGTCAAGCACAGGGCGTGAGCGATCTCTATCCTCCGCCGGCGGGTCAGGTAGCGGTTGAAGTGGAATTCTTTCTCCAGCTCCAGCGTTTGGTAACGGGTGTAAGTCTGACGCCCTCTCTTTCGATCTGGACCTAAAGGAAGGGGGAGAGAGGGGAGAGGGGGCGGAAACCATATAAGTTAAGGCAGGAAAGGAGGACAATCCACCTGAATAAAATCCAGAATTTACAAGCAAGTCGGAAGATAAATGGAATCAGTCATCCCCAGGCTCCATTTTTTTCAGATACAATACTGGGCCGCCCCAAAGGCCATTGAGCCACGCGGGGTTAGGCAGATCTTCGTGAAAGTATCCCCTTAGTGAACATCTACTTGAAAAGAAACACAGTAAATAGTTCTCCTCTTAGTTAGGATCTGACACTTCTAAAATAACTCCGCTGTGCTCCTTGCGGCTGCCTTTCTGACTGAAGTCACCTTCATGAAAAGTCTGGAAGTTAGTTTCTACAGTTTTTAATCCTTAACCTCAAAGAAAAATCCGACACAGGCAAAATGGTTTAGCAAGACTCTGGCGAATATTATGCACTGCCAGGGAGTCCAAGTCTTACTCTATCAATATCATTTAAAATATTGCCTTCGTCTCCCCCCTTGCCCTCGTCTAGGGGAGGTATGCGAGGTTTAGCTGCACGAAGACCTTCTCTCCCACCCACCCCCACGCCTGCCCATCTATAACAGGTCCATATTTTTCTGACAAGAAAATTCGAGAACAGTAGGGGGAAAAATCACATATTTTAATCCAGTGCATGCAGGTGGCTTCTCAGTCGTTGTTGTCTCTTCCACCTCTGCCCGCCACCCCCATTCCCATCCGAGATTCCCCTTCTCTTCCGCTGCGGGCAGAGAAAGGCGCCCCATCGCCAGGCGTGCTCTCCGGACCCATCCGCCACCTTCGCCTGTTTTCCCTGTGGTGCAGCCCGGAGTTCAGCCCGACTCTCCAGTCCCATCGTGAAGAGGAGTTAGATAAATTTACGAGGCTCGAACTCATTAATTGGGCAATAAAAAGTTTTATGAGGTTCATTTACATACAATGCCACAGGCTTTTGCGCAATGGCGCCTCTGCTCTAATTAAAAGCGAAGAGGCAGGCGCACTTTTGGCGAGAAAGTTTGCATGCGCCGCCTTGGCTCGCCTGCCTGAGGTCGCGTAACATTCGCCCGCAGGTCGAGCTGTCCCATTTTATGTTTTTGAACAAGGCTTTTGGTCTTCCCCCGCCCGCTCCCCCCGCCTTCCCCATACCTGAAGACCTCATCCATGGGTATATCCGGAAATTACTCTCAGCCTGGCTGTGCAGGTTGCTTTCCTCCGCTTTCTCACAGCTGGATTTGGTTAAGTCATTGCAGAGGACGGGAATGTTCTGATCAAAAGAGGAACAATGCAGGTTGTAGGTATCAGAGCCCAGGCTGTATCCGGAAGAAAACGGGGTTTGATATATGGCACTGTTCACATTGTACAAAGCAGGCATGGAGGAGGTGAATGCGCTAGCGCCTGGTCCATAGCCGCTTCTCTGGGAGTTGGTAGCAAAGGAGCAAGACGTAGGCTCCGCATTTTGGAAGAGAGAAGCAGCCCCCGTCGTATATTTGCTAAAAAGAGCGTTCACATAATACGAAGAACTCATAATTTTGACCGGTGATTTGTTGTCCGGTAGGCTTCGGTGTCGGTTTTACGAGGTAGCGTGATATATGATAACATTACACCCCCAGATTTACACCAAACCCCATTTTCTTTTGGACCAAGCTGCCTCCACCACGTGACCAGTCATATGACCCCGTCCGCCAATCTGCTCCTGCATCACAGGTGGTAGAGATCAGGGAAGCGCACAAGGTCCCGCAATGGAAGCGAAGAGCATCACAGCCGCGCCTGGCGAATGACCGAAAGCAGCCGGCGCGTTCTTTCCCCCCAGGCGGGATGCCACATGGCCGGCGGTCCGCGAAAGGAGCCGGGGAGGTGCCAAGGAACGGGGCCGGCTGTGACTGTGGCGAGGCAACTCGAGCCCGGCGTTTGGAGAACGAAGGCCGGCCGTCTTCGCTTTCGCCCACCCTTCTCTTTCCCTTCTGCCAAGGGGGCTATAGGAGCGGCGGAATCCTCGCCCGTTTTCTTTAAATCTCCCCCTCCAGCCCCGAGACAGAATCCTCCTTTCCGCTTGAATGAAACTACGGGCTGGATTTGGGATCCCTCTCTGTGCCGTTGGCAAGCCTTTTGCCTATTCCATTCCGGAAGAAGAGCGCAGTTGGATCCACGCAACTACTCTTCTCATTAATATACCGTAGTCTCTTTCCCCCACCCCCCTCCAACCTGCGCAGACACGGGCTTTCTTTCTCACTCCCGGCTGGTGGGGTTGTGAGCATTGACACAAGCGCAACGCCACCACTGTGTTCCTGTTCTTTTCTTGTTTTTTTTTTAAAAAGGAAATAGCATCCCACATACGGTGGTCATTGAGTCTCTCTGTGCGCGCGCGTCATATTGGTGGGTTTGTGAGATTCTGTCAAAATGGTTGCCCTTTCCATAGTGATAGCAGATTTCTTTGAAATACTGCCATTCTCTATGGCAAAACACCCACCCACACACACCACTCTCCATTTCTCTTCCAAAAGGGCGGTGGGTTTGGGACTGGTCCTAGCTTGTTTGCAAGCTTTTTCAAAAAGGCCTGGTAAATATCTTCCAAGGCCTTTCATGTTTCTGATTTTGCACGCTACTCCAGTTAAGGCTGCATCAGAAGACTCGTTGTGGGGAATTACGACACACAGAAGCCCTTTATTAGACGACCCGCTTCTCCCAATAGCACCGCCCCGATTTTTTTTTTAAACGTATTTGGAGTGACAAATAAAATAAACGAGCTTTCATAACCTTTGGGAAGGGAAATCTCGAATAAGGCATGAGGGTGTTGAAATGTATCCTTTTTAAAAGCCCTGCTTCTGCCCACTACCTCCGCCGCCCAACATCTTCAGGAACCCCAAACCTTTGGACACCTTCTATGCTTGGGCAAAGGTAGTTCCCCCCCTGCCCACAGATGACAACAGGATTCTTTATTTTTTAAGAATCTGGGTGCCCCCTCACCCCCACAGGCACACACAGGCACACAAGCAGCCGGGAGAAAGAAGGTGGCTCTTCTCCTGTTTCCTTCCCCAACCCCCTTGGTCATAAAATGAATTTCCTCCCTTCCATGGAGACGTTTGCACAGAGGCATCTTTTACTGCCCTGGTCTATTGCACATCATAAACTGGAAGAAAGACAATAGAATTGTCCCGGAAACTCTCCCCTCAAATTATGGAACTGCCGATCCTATGTCTACTAAGAGCCTCTCACGCTCTAGAAATGACACTGGTGATATTTCTCACGGAGCTTTGGGAGGGTACCACCACCACCCCAGCCAGTCCAGTAAAAAGACCCATAAAGGCCATCGCACAATAGAGCTGCGGAATGAAATGGGGATTCTAATAGTGTAATCATATGGACTGAGTATGAGGTCCTTTGCCCCTCCAGCCTTTCGCTTTTTAGGGGAAGAGAATCCGAAGCTGCTCTGCTTGGGCTCTTTTAGGCCCCACAGTTTTGACCCCACTCTTAAAATGGCTGTCAAAACCAAAGGAAGGCCAAGGGAGGGCCCCCTGCCTACCCTTCCCATTCGCTTTCCTGGGAAAAAAAAATCTTTTTTGAATCCAGCTAGCAACCTACGCAAGCCAATGGAGGAAGGAAGAAAGCAAAGCGAACCTGCAAAGGCAATCGAGATCAAAGAAGCAGGCGGTCACTTCAACATTGAACTAATAAATGCCTCCTCCCCGGGAACAATCCACAAGATGGACGGTGGGGAGCAAACAGAAGCAACATTGGAGGCGCGGCTCCTGACCAGGCAAACCATGGCTTCGCAGATCCTCATACTGGTTTAGGAACGTCCAAGCTATTTTCTCATACCGGCCAGGGATAGACTTAAAAATAAAAAATTACCCTCAAAAAATGTTTTTTAGAGCCTGGAAGAGTTCGAAATTTTTTCACAAGAATTGTGTAGTAAGTGGACACACAGGCTCACGGCGCACCCTGAGAAAGGGACAGTTTTCTGACAAGGCGAATGACTAATTCTCTCTATACCAATTTCTCTCCCCCCCCCATAAGATCTAAAGCACGTTGAAAATGAAGCTACCCATTAGCCATAATAGTATGGTTGTAACCCCCTCCCCCCCTTTCTCAATCTCTCTATTTCCATTTTAAGTCTTGTTCTGGCTCTGGCGTCCGATTGCGGAATTTTTCTCCAGTTCAAAGAGCAGATCCTCCTATATGCTGCATTCTCTGCTTAGAAGGGCGCGCGCGCACGCTCAGACACCCTAAAACGACCCTAATTTTTTAAAAATAGTATATTATTTATTGCATTTAATTTATGCCTGTGATATTCAATGAAACCCCTACACCCACTATATTTTCTTCTATATCTAACGAGCCCCATGCCCTTCAAAAATACTGTCCTATACGAAGAAGACGTAAATTGCTTTGTTATATGTTCTGATCAATCTTTGCTAAAGCGAAAGTGTGCCGCTTCAAAATATTTCCCAATTGCTAACTCTCTAAGCCTGCTTTCTGCATTAGGGAGCAAAATTGTTACTGATTCAGTGCGATTACAGCTTTGATTTTTACTATTTGGCATATATGAGCTTCGCTTTCCTTAATTAGCCTTGTCTGCTTAATTAAAAGTTTGTATGGGTTACTTAATTTCCGTTTTGCATTTTACTACAGGTGAAGTGTGGTCGGATAACATCACCAGGTTATATTAAAGGTATTATCTTCTCAATAAGGATTACATACTTAACTGTGATAGGTCATAATCCGTTCATATAAATTTTATTTTCCATTAAGACTATTTATTAAATATAGATGTTGCATTCCCTCCATAGGCTTTCAATATTTTTAGTGTCAGGTATAATTGGCTGTTTTCCTTATGTGGATTCTTATTATAGCATTAAACCAGAGTGCTTTCCCTGCTTGGATCTTGAGTCTTCCTTCGCTGGTTTTATGTGGCTCGGTAGTGATGGATTTCTATGTGTTCTTGTGGGTGTGAAGAAGATGTACATTTTCAACCTTTTCCTCAAAATATCACATTTTTCTTTCATTTTGATCCGATGCATTTATGTTTCTTTTATTCCGGAAACCTATTACAGATAAACATGAATTCCAGGCATTTAATTTTCAGAAGCCAGAATGTGCTCTCTGTTCAGCTGAAATGAGAATAAATGCAGTCCTCCAAAGCAGAAGCTAAAAAGAGGTATTAATTTTTTAACAGGAAAAAAAAAACTGAAAATATAAGAAACAAAAAAAAAGGTCCCAGAATAAAAAGTTACACTTTCTACAGCCGGTGGTATGTCAGCTTGTGAGCATTTGCATAACATAATTAAATCGGATCCCACGGAGTCAAAATTGTTTAGGACAGAACAAAGCCCTTAATTGAAGAAAATACATCTGCTGGAAAATTCAGTAGCTGGTAAATAATTTTCAAATTAAAAATTAGTCGCTTTATCCTAGCAGTTCAGCTAGGTTTGTGCAGCTTTGGGGGGGGGGGGGTTTGCTGGTAAAAAAAAGCTCACAATTTCAAGGACAGCCTGCCCTCCAAAGCAAGGCAGAGTCACGTTTGGGGAATGTAAATGAGGCAGAGGAAAGATACCCTTGTGTTAGGAAAGAAGAATATCCACACTATAGAGAACTGCCTAAAATCCCTATTAAAAGGGGAGCTTGTTTGATTGTGTTATTTTTTTGCAAGGGGAAAAATAATAATGATCTGTCTATTTGTTCCATTTGGAAGCATGGCCTTTAATTAGGGTTGCTTCTACCAATGATACAAGCTTTTAATCATCAACGGAGGCTTTCCTGGGATTTGGATCTTTGCAGCTGTAATATTCCTTTTATGCTTTCAGTAAAGATGGTGCAGCCTGCTTATGTTTCAATTCTACATACCTTTTGGGGTGCGCCATTAAATGCCCCGTTAGAAAATGCTGATAGAATACAATGGCACACAATCACACCACCATAAGACCATCTTGGGCATATTTACTAGAGAGTAAACCACACATTATTCAGTAAGGCTTACTTCATAGAGCAGCTTGCTGCCTGGGTGGGATTGAGGAAATATAAATGATTGTAACCCTGTGAATATATTTGCTTGCATGATTTATATTTGCATACAGATATTATTGTGCATATCAATTTGTGCATATCACAGCCAGTTAAATCATGGATTGGTTCTTAACACAAATGTATTTGTATTTTATTATAGGTTTAACAGTTGAAAATGTAATTTCCCCAAAGATGATACATACTTACATATATCCAAAGAGATGGAATCCAGTTCAGCCTCTTTATTGAGCTGAAATGAGCCATTTTATAAACTTGAAACATGTGTTTGTATAGATGTTTCTGTATGTGTATTCACCTATAGATATGTGGATGCATACACGCACACATACACACACACATCACATATTACTGATGTCTGATGGCACAACAAACAAAATCTGATCTTTGGTACATTTTTAAAATAATAATAAAGCCTAATGTTTCGGATGGCTGAAATTAAGATTTACAATAAATGACATACTGATGAACAACTGGATTCAGTTTTAATCAAAAATGGCTTAAATTCCCCACTGTTATCTGAGAATCTGGTTTTGGCGTGAATAAATCTGCATCCAACCCAGCATTGCTGCATTCCTTTCTAAGCGTTCAGATATTCATAAGGGTAAATAGGCAACGAACACTTTCTGTCCT